TGAGCTACCAAGAGGAAAGCAGCTGTGATGTCTCAAGTGCCCTCAGGCTGTGAGGGGCTGGCGCTGTCCTTCTGATGTTAGCTGAGGGGTCTAGTCCCATCTCATTGGGAACAAGGCGGGATGATTTCACCTGCTGGAGAGATTCCTGGCATCAGCGGAGAATCTCTGGAACCTGAGAAGACAACCCGAGGCAGATCAGCAGCCCCCGTCTGGGACTGAGATGAAGGTTTCTGCCTGCTGTACCTCAGGGCTGCTCAGAACTTCAGACAAGTGTGAATACCACTGCGAGATCAGTTCTCACATATATCATGACAGTAAACACAGAGAGAGCCCTGACTTGGTGTCCAGAGGCCCTACAGCAACCTGCAGGCACATGCTAGTCTTCTCTTCATATTACCCATAGAAAACTGAGGCCCTGTGTTACTTCTTTTACAGAAATGGCAACAATAACCCTACCCTCCATATCCCCAGAGGATTGTGGTAATAGACAGAAGAAACCAGATGATAGCATTTCTTGAAACCATTAAGCATTCTATAAATGTAAGGTGACTTTATAGTATCTATCATGATCATTTCAGCAAAATACCATTACATTAGGGCCTCTATTTTAAGATGAACAAAGTGCTACCTTGGAAAGATTGTCAACTGAACTTTAAAATGACCTTGAATGTTCCTGTCCAGGAGATTTCCTGGGAGTGAGTTTTTCTTTTAAAAGAGAAAAAAAAAATAAGAAAAGAAAAAGAAAACCTCTAGATGAGGTTAAGTAACTGAAAGATTTTAAAGTAACCACCCTTGCTTGGGACGAATTGGGAAATATCTTTGGTGGATATTTCGGTGGAGAGGCAGAGTTGTTTATTTTGCTGTGTGCACTATTTATATTCTGGTCCCTGTAGCAGTGGAGAGAGCCCTGGGCTACACCTGAGAACCCAATGGAGAGCCTAAGAGAGATTCAGGGGCAAGTAACATACGATACCCTCAGTCCCAGAATCCAGAGTAGCCACTCCTGCTGTGGGGGTGCTTGCTAGGATGACAAGCTCATAACAGCTACAGAACAGTGAGAGTCTATTCTGTTTGGAGTTCAGAAAAGTGGGCAGTGGGAGGAGTTGTACTGCAGCTGGAGTTGAGAGATGTGTAATATTCTAATAGTGTCTCTAGGCTGGGAGTGCTCATTCAGCCTCCTCCTTATTGTTCTCCACAATGAAGTTCGTTTGTATAATAGTCACATGCTATCCTTGCACCTTTAAAAAATGGTTTTATGTTTATGTATGTGAGTGTTTGTATGTCTGTATACAACATGTGTACCTGGCACCTGCAGAGTCCAGAAGAGAGTGTCATATTCCCTGGAAATGGAGCAACAAATGGTTGTAAGCCACCACATGGGTGCTCGAAACCAAGCCGGGATCCTCTGAAAGAGCAGACTGTGCTCTTCACAACCGAATCACCTCCCAAATCCACAGCCAGCAACTCTGAATGATGTGTTTGACTTAGACACCAGGTGCATAAGGTCAGGTGAGAGAGGACGATTTCTTGTGGTTTGTTGGAATTGTCCAGCTATGTGTCACTTCCCCACGGGGACCACATGTTTGTGGGAATAGCAATTGTGTCTTCTTAGTTATTCTTCCAGCACCTAACGTACCTAAAATGACTGATGTTCAACATCTTTCATGAAAACTTTTACCTGACACAACGGTTTGTCAGGGCCCCACATTGAGGCAACACCGGTCAGGGTGCAGCCTCAGCGGGGGTTCGCATGTTACAGGGTAGGGGTGTGTGGGCAGAAATTTTAAGCAGATACAAAAGAAAAAGACGGAGACACAGAATAGAGCTGGGAGGGCAACCCAGTGAATACTGAATCCACCCAGTGTTTATTTCTTATGGTCTTTAAATACCCCACTCCAAAAGAGGGAAAGAAAACAAAAGACCTTTTCTTTGTGTTATAAGGAACAAGTAATTATTATCTTAAAACCCAAAATACCAAGTAACCACACCCTAGGTCAAGACATCATTGTTAGTACTCACACTTGTAGTCAAACCTCTTGTCAATAGCCTTGAAGGAGCAAGAATAGGCCTGAACTCTCTGACCTTTATTCAAGGTGGAACAGATCCACTTCTGTCAGTTCCCACAAAGGTTGAATGAATGGAGGAGAGGGTGTCATTCTTTAGTCCCCAAAATTAAAAGGTTAGATTAGGAAATTCTTGTTTGTTTGTTTGTTTGTTTATTTGTTTATTATGTATACAATATTCTGTCTGTGTGTATCTGCAGGCCAGAAGAGGGCACCAGACCTCATTACAGATGGTTGTGAGCCACCATGTGGTTGCTGGGAATTGAACTCAGGACCTTTGGAAGAGCAGTCAGTGCTCTTAACCACTGAGCCATTTCTCCAGCCCCTAGATTAGGAAACTCTTAAAGCAAACCTTTTTTTCGGAAGAACTCTGGGGTCTTGTTTAAAAATCAATGGTGTTGGAAGCATGGTCTTTTCTTTCTTTGAGAAAAATTCTGCTTATCTTGTTGCGTTACTACAATGAATACCTTAGGCGTCTTTATGGCCTTGTAAAGAGTTTTTTCTGGCCCCAGTTTTGGAGTGTGACCAGCCCTGGTAAGAGTCTGTGATAGAGGGCCTAGGTTCGTGCAGAAACAAGAACTTCCCCATGAAGCGGGATTCGAGAGAGAAACACAGTTTGGGGCCTGTGTAATGTGCTCTTTCCAAAACTCACTTCATGAGACCAACATTCCCTTCTGAGAGTAGGATCTCAGTGGCCTAGAACTTCTCCCTAGGTCATGAATTTCTATGCCCCTAACTGTGGACAATCTCCCAACATAGCAACTCTTAGGGGCAAACCATACCCAAACATCAGAAACTTCTGTCTTAGGGGAAAAGGAAAGTGTTCAGGAAAATGGACACCAATGAATAGAAACAGAAAGAACTACTGAGTTAACTTCCATGTTCAATGAGGAAACTAAGCAACCTTCATCTCTCAGGTGTGTCTGTTTTTTATAGTAAGAATACTTGTCATGGACTGTACCCGACAGCTGACTATAGGTACTGTCTTGTATAGCAAACAGATCTCCAGGTGACAGTCATCCTGAATGGAGTTCTCTGCTTCTGTCTCACCACCATAGCCCCGGGAAATCACTATTCCACTGTCTACCAACTTGACCGTGTTTTATTTCCCTAATAAGTGGAGTGATACACTATTTGCTTTTCTACGGCGTCCATGTCCATGTGACATTTAATGCACTGGGACCAGACGAGACTCTAAGGCAACAAACAATAATGAAGTCCAAGGGCTCAAGTTTGGGGCAGAAATGGAGGCCTTAGCAGACTGGGAAACGGCAGCAGGTGCAAAGTGGGTGAGAGAAAGCCCAGGAAAGAATTACAGTTCCCTGGCCTGCACAAGCAAATGGCACATGTGGGTTTTGACTGGCAATATGCAAACTCTTGCATGAAAGAAAGGAAGGTGTTTTAGTAAGGGTTTCTATTGCTGCGATGAAATGCCATGACCAAAAAGTAAGTTGGGGAGGAAAGGGCTTATTCAGCTTGCACTTCCACATTGCTGGTCATCTCTGAAGGAAGTCAGGACAGGAACTCAAACAGGGCAGGGTTCTAGAGGCAGGAGTGATGCAGAGGCCATGGAGGATGCTGTTTACTGACTTGCTCCCTATGGGTTGTTCAGCCTGCTTTCTTATAGAACTCAGGGCCACAATCACAGGGACAGCACCATCCATCATGGGCTGGACCCTCCCACAATGATCACTAAGAAAATGCTTTACAGCTGGATTTCCTGGAGGCATTTCCTCAACTGAAGCTCCTTCTCTGATGATTCTAGCTTGTGTTGTTGATTACAGAAAATCAGTCAATACAGTTGGTTATCTCAAAGTCTTCTGAGTGATCTAGTTAGCTAAGCCTTGAGAACTGACAGTGTCTTTTCCTCGTAAAAGTGAACATTACCTTACATGGTAAACTTTAATAGACGTTACATTATAAGAAAACGCAGAAGGCGGTGTTTCATTCCAGGTCAGGTTGGGCATGGGAGCCCAAGGACCAGCCTTCCAGCTCACACTGCCTCTTGCTAGTCAAGCTCCTTACATCTAGGATCTCAAGAACAGTTTGAAAAACACAGGTGCAAGCCAACACGTTTGTCTACATTAAAAAAATAAGAAGAAATACGTTCGACGAAGAAGGACCCTGACTCAAGGCCATGCAACTAGCTTGTGGGAAAAATAATCAGATGGCAACATAACAGCATTTGCTGAAAGCTGAGAATAAATCTGTTCCTACCTGTCTTATCCCTCTGCCTTTTCAGGGGCAGCAGTTTTCATGATAAACGGAGAAAGGAAAAGAATCTTTGCCCTCTTACATTTCTATGAAGAGGAGAGAGGGATAAGACAAACAAATTGGTTAAACATTATGAAGCCTCACTGCTAGGAATCATTTCTATACTCTTCCCATCTGTCATTTGTCAGGTTCCATGTTTCCTCACTTGCATAGTGAGAGGGAGCATGCTGCAGTCTAGGGTACCAGTATATCAATAATGATGACTACAGTTATCTTTCCTGACCACTGACTGACTTCCAGAACTGCCCTCTGACCTTCCCTCTGCCTCCCTGGGTCAGGCTCAGCAAGGACTATCTGTGTGGCACACTTGGGACTGTCTTATAAGGTGATTAAAAAGTTCAGGTCTAGCGTGGGAAGGCTCCATTGCATATCCATTGCAGAATTCACTGATGGGAATTCAAGACACTCTTTCTTGGATTTGTTTTACAACTGTGTGAATTACCTTGCCTACTGCAAATCAGGAAGGACACAAGTGTAAGAACCCACACTAATTAACCACACACCTAGCTTTGTTCTAGGTACTTCACCACCCCAACCCTACATCCACCAGGGAGGTGCCCAGTGGGTCTCTGTAGGTCCTGTCTCCCCTGATTTCTGGTTGTAACAAGCCAGGTGAAACCCAGGAACTTCTGTTAGTCTCACCGGCCACTGTTTGTGCCTTAGGATCCACGCCCGAAGCCACAGGATCCTTCTCTGGCACTGCCCAGAGAAGAGGACCCGGAGAAGCCGACAGCGGAAGAAGGAAGCAGCAGCGATGATGAAGAAGAAAGGTACGGGCAGCTGGGCAGCCTTCTGCGTATGCCAAGCATGAAGACTCAGACTGGAGGGTTTGCTTGTTCATCCCTTCTGTCCTTGAGTGCTTACGACTGACTTAACCTCATGCTCAGAGAGAGAGAGAACAGTTATGTCTTACATGTTCTTCTATACTGCTATGGCTTTCCATAAACTACCTTATTTAACTTTCATGCCGACACAGAGAGCACTTTATAAAGAACCCAAAGCTCAAAGAGATTAATAATCCTGCCCAAGATTCAAGCCTAGATGGGTTACAGACTTTTCTTCTATTGTCGGGGAAGAAAGGGGAGCTCTGTTGCCAGAGGAAACCCCCATGTATTCCACCTGTATGCCTGCTGCTACTTTATCAGCCATCCTCCAGATAGGTGGTGTTTGCCTCATGGTGAGCTACGTTTGTGCTTGGCTTGACCATGCTTTGATGGGTTCATATACCTTTGGCCCCTAGCTGAGGATGGGGTGTTAGGGCTCTGCCTTACTAGTTTCTTATTCTTGCCTCTTCATGCTGGGACCCAGGCAGAAGAGGTAATCCCCTAATTAGGGCATAATGTTGTCATGGTTACATGGTTACATGCATACCTGTAGAGGCCAGTATAGGATGTCAGACCTCATAAAACTGGAGTTTAGACTTTTGTGAGCCACCATGTGGTGCTGGAAACTAAAACCAGGTCCTCTGCAAGAATAGCAGGTGCTCCTAATCACTGAGCCACCTCTCCAACCCAGTACATACATATCTTATGCCTGTGTGTCTGGACTTTCTTTTCTCTGCAAAGCAGAAGCCCTGGCCTCATGTCTTTCTCCACAGGGGCTTTTACCCTTGACCTCTCTGGTCCCCTGGTCTAATGTTCTTGCCATGAGAAATTGAAGGCCTCCTTGTGACATCCCTTCACGCTGTTCAACACGGCAAACACTTAGCATCCCTATTTAAGCATTTCATTTCTTAGCAAGCTCCAGAGTTCAGAGTGTGAAAGTATCTCCCTGAAAGACATTTTTCTGCATCTTCTCTAAGATGCTTTTTCTCTATTTGGGCTTTTGACCAGCTTTTCAATAGGGAGAAGCCTAATAATTATCTCCTCCTGGTTTATTATCACCTAGGATAACCAGTAAAAATTATGAGTATGCTTGGGAAGTGTGAAAAGCTGGAAAAAAAAGGTTTGTTTTTTCTTTTTTCCATGTATAGGAAAAATGATGAAACTTAGATATAGAGACCTATTTTTGGAGCTTTTCAGCTCCCTCAGAAGAACTCGAAGCTCACAGTCTCTTATTTGTTAAGCATTCGCCAAGATCAGGTAGTTCCTATAGAAACTTGTACAGCAAAACTTAGAACTTAAATTAGGTTGCTTTTTACTCCTCTAGGAGCTCCCTCCTCCCTTATAGGAGCAGTTGAAACACCTACAGCATCTAATCATTATTTCGTTCATCTCTTCAAAAGGATTGGAGAGCCCCTCAAGGAAGGAAGTGATCTACAGCCTCCCCAGGGCTCTGTGCTGAAGGAGAAGGCAGTGGAGACTGGACATCAACCAGAGGACTGGCAAAGCCAAAATGTCAAACTACAAACCCAGGTAGGACAGCTCTGGATAGGATATGCCTCACCCAGCCCAGAGTGCAACTGTGCCTCCTCCTACAGGGAGCCTTGGAAAGCACACGAGGCCAGTTTCCATCTGGGGAGGGTGTTATAGGTCCAGGGCAAAGCAGACTTCTTGGTTTTGCTTATTCATTAGAAACTTCCAGTGTTAACATGCACATAAATAAAAATAAATAAATCTTTTTAAATAGAGGACTGCAAGATGGCTCAGCAGTTAAGGACGTTGGTTATTATTCCAGAAGACACTGGTTTGATACACAGCAACCAATATGACTAACAACAGCCTATAACTCCAGTTCTAGGGGTTCCAGTGCCTTCTTCTGGACTCCTCAGACACTACATATATGGTGCACACATATACATGCAGGGGAATTGACCATACACATAAAATAAAAATAAATTTAAAAATGATAAAATTATTTAAAATTTTTAATATTTGTTTTATGTGTATGAGCATTTTTGCCTGCATGAATTTCCTCTGTGCACTGTGTGTGCAGTACCCACAGAAGTCAGAGAAGGATGTCAGATCCTCTGGGACTGGAAGTATAGATGGCTGTGCACAATCATTTGGGTGCTGGGAATCAAACCTGAATGTCTGGAGGGCAACCAGTGCTCTTGACTGCTGAGCTATCTCTCCAGCTCCCCCCCTCCAAATTTTAAATAGAATGACTATATGATCCAGAAACCTTGATGTGGGAGTGTCATAAATCAATCTGTTGATTTCATTGGTTAAGCAATAAAGGAACTCCTTGGCCATGATAGGTTAAAACATAGGTGGGAGGAGTAAACAGAATAGGATGCTGGGAGGAAGAGGAAGTGAGCTCAGACTCTGCTCTGCTCCCAGAGAGACCCAACAGCTCTGCTCTCTGGAGCAGAGACGCCATGCTCAGCTCTCCTGGGTAGACGCGATAGCTCTGCGCTCTGACGCATGAAGCTCTGCCTCAGGATGGACGTAGGCTAGAATCTTCCCGATAAGCGCACCTTGGGGTGCTTACACACATTATTAGAAATGGGCTAGTCCAGGTGTGAGAATTAGCCTAGAAGAGGCTAGATAGAAATGAGCCAAGCAGTGCTTAAATGAATACAGTTTGTGTGTTGTTATTTCGGGGCATAAGCTAGCAGGCGGCCGGGGTGCTGGGGACGCAGCCCCGCTGCTCAGATTTCAACAAAACCTCATTATTGAGCGAGACTCCAAAGGATGGAAAACAGCACGTCAATGATATGTGTGCATTTCTCACTGCAGAATTACTCAGTCGCCAAGATACGGGATTGTGGTGGTTTGAGAGAAAAAAAAAAAAAAACAACTTCCACTGCTCATGAGCACCCATGCTGAGCCACAGGGATCCATCAATGAAGAAATCAGACGAAAGTCCTTGCATTTTGTACATAGGGGGGCATATACATATGCATCAAAGGCCGAGCAGACAGTAAACAGTCTGTGTGCTCGGTTTCTGTATCTGTAGATTCAGCCAACTTCAAGTTGAATACATTTGGTGGAAAGAGCATCTGTTCTGAATGTGTGCATACCTTTTTATTGTCATAATTTTCCTAAACAAAGCATCTTGATGACTGTAAATATAGCATTTGGTATTATAAGTAATGCGGGAAGGCTTTAATATACAAAAGTGTGTATGTGTGTGTGTGAGAGAGAGACATAGAGAGATACAGACAGACAAACAGACACTACCCTGTTCCTCTGCAGCTACAGAGAGGCAACTGTATTTTCTACGTTACAGAAGAGGTTCTAAATGCTAAATACAGTACATTAGAAGAGTTTCAGGGGGCTGGAGAGATAGCTCAGAGGTTAAGAGCACTGACTGCTCTTCCATAGGTCCTGAGTTCAATTCCCAGCAACCACATGGTGGCTTACAGCCATCTATAATGAGACCTGGCGCCCCCTTCTGGCTTGTAGGCACACATGGAAGGAATGCTGTACACATAATATAATAAATAAATAAATAAATAAATAAATATTTTTTTTAAAAAAAGAAGAGTTTCAGGAAGAAACTCTAAGAGTTCCTTGGTAAAGAGTAAGATCTGAGGTGTGAGAGGCTGCCCTGTGGACCCCTGCAAGGTTTCGATTTCTCTGGGAAGGTTCATGTTTCAGCCACAACCCTCTCTTTCCCAGCACTCAGGGTTCTGCCTGAGGGGTCTTCTGAAGCACTTACTGCTAAAGTGTCTTAAGCCTTACAGTCTCCCTAGACCCTCAGCTGTTCCAAAGATGTTCCAAAAATGTTCAGCAAGGATGAGGTGGCCTTGGAAAAGCTGCCTTTAAGGACAAGAGTCTTAGGCCTCTGAGGGACCTGACCTGAGGTTGGATGTCTGTCTCAGCAAGTTTCCCAGCTGTAGCGGGCTCTGAAGCAATGTGCCAGTGAATGTGGATACTAAAAAGAAATCCCACACTAGCTCAGAGTTGAGTATAGTAAAGGGTTATTTATTTAGAGGTGGACTCACAGATCACAGTCCTCAGCACAAACGAGGAACAACAACCGAATCCAGCAGCCAGAAGAGAGAGGGGACACATGCTTTATGTTAGCATTTATAGTATAAGAGACCATGCCCAAGTGGGTGGGTAACTTAAAGAATTTCCTACAGCATGTCCCCCTTTTGTTTAAATAAGAGAGTTCTAAGCCTAATACAAAATTATATACAGTAAGAACAAATATCATGTATAAAAATTAGAAGTACAACCAGCATAAAAAATATCAAGCAAGAAACATGTGATGTTTCAATAATCATCCTATCCTAAGGAGTTTAAGTCTTGTATTATAAATAACTTGGCCAAGTCATGAGAGGAAAGTAACTACAGCTATCTATTCTTCAACCCCATCGAAGACCTGAGAAGGTAAATAATATTACTTGAGTAAGCAGGAAGTGCAATCAAGCAACTTCAAAAATGTATAAAAAATGACATAGACAACTGGCTATCTGGGCAATCACCCAAAGTCTAGTTTGCAACATTGGAGCAACCAACTTTGGCTAAGGCCTAGAGTAACTGAAAGACCATTTTCAGGGGCAGGAGATTTTTCAAAACTGTCTTACCCTGCTTGGCAAGATTTGACAGTCTTTTTTCCCCTTGTATCCTGCTTGTCCTGGCTGGACATCATGGATTTTTGTAGTGGTTGATGCATAGGCAGTTCCTTGCCCAAAGGCCAGTTTTGCCAAGAAGAAAACAAGCTCGAAGTGGAGTATCTTCAGTGCTCAACATTCTCTCAGGAATAGATCGGTGCTGCCAGGAGCAATTGTGTCTCACTGTCATGAAAAAATCCTAAGTTCTTAAACATTTTAAATGCCATATTCTGTTAGTCTTTAAGAGGTTTGAAGAATAATTATCCATCTGAAATATATCGCTGTACACCTAAAAAAAAACTAACTAACATGACTACAAGCTTGACTATTATAGATGACTATCTATTAACTTTTATTTCTTAATTATACATTACATTTTTAAATGAGCTGGACAAACACAATATCTTAATCAAGACCAAAAATACATATATACAGTATAACGAAATTGTCCTTAAATTTGTATCAATAAACCAAGATCCATGCCAATGCAAGCCTCTATAGCATATCCCCCTTTAAATGTAAATAAACATTTATAGACAATATTTTGGAATATGAGCGTAGTTCTCTCCAAACTGCTTCCTGCTGTTTGTTGGGTGAAGTAATTTTTAGGGGTGTTCACAGTGACCTTTCAGGGAGTCTTGGTCCATCAAACCACATTAGTCTGTAAGGATTCCACAGATTGTCATCCTCTGTGGAAACAAAAGAAGAACCTCTTTTCTAAAGCAACATATCCTTAGACCCAAATTTAAAAGACAAGATGCCTTTAAAGTGTGTATGTTGGTTACTTAGCTCCTTTACAGTCAAAAAATTCAAAGAAAACACAATGATATACATAATCCAGACTCTCTGTGTATATTCCATATTTACGTGGCTTATCATTTTTTACTCTTATTTTTTTAATGTTTATTTTATTAGCTTTACTCCTTTAATCTATGACTGTCTGTCCTCTTATTCGGCCAGTTTATAAAACCATTAAATTATAGGAAACACTGATCAGAATGCACAATATTTAAGCATGTTTAACTTCCTTTGCTTAAAGAGAATAGTAAAAAAACCATGAAAAGTTCAACATCATTGTCAACCCTGGTTTGGAGGACACTGACGTGGTAAAGCTCTCTCCTATCTTAGAAGTCACTTAACACATAAAGGAACCAGTGACAGTCAGCATTATGATACAGAAGGACTGCACCAAAGTCCTAAATGGTAAATTAAATAGTGATTTGTACCCTGTTTTTAAAGTAAAATTTAGCATGTTTGGTTCGATGTGATAATAAAACTATAGTACTGACAACATACATTTTTTTAGAGTTTTTACAAATTTAGGGAATAGTGTTAAAGACAAATAGGCTTATTTTCTGAAATAAAGTGTGTATTATATATAATAAAATACTTCTTTTTTCAGGGCCAATGAGGCAGGCCAGGCTTTCAAAAACCAAGACTATCCAAATGGCAGGTTTGGGTGGCTTGGGGTTTCTTTTGTTTTGTTTTGTTTCGGTTTGGTTTTTTTTTAGTGGTGTTAATCTAAAAAAAGGGAGAAATGTCAAAAGAATTTTACTGGTCATATGCATTTTGTATAAAAAGAGCCCTTATTGTTCACTTTGCATACATTAACCTTACTTACTTTAACTGCAAACTTTCGCACGTTATACAGTTCAGACACACGTTTAATCATACATGCATGCGGTACATAATGGACAGAAATCGCCTAAAATTATAGGAGCCATGAAAATCCGGCTTTGTTGTCCACTGTACAATGTCAGCCATCCACTGCGCCCAAGGATGACAGCAACCACAAAGGTCTGTGTGAATCCCACACATGTGCCTATGGCCATGATGGGCAGAAGAGAACATGGGATGCTCTGGAACTGGAATTACAGACAGTCATGCAAACTGGGTGCTGGAAATTGAACTTGAGTCTTCTGGCAGAGAAGACTGTGCTCTTAGTCACAAAGGCATCTCCAGAGCCTTGAAATCTGTTCTGTAAGCCAGTTTTTATGAATGTTATTAAAAACAGACCTGTGTCTTAAGAAAATACCATTGTTTAAAGCGAAGATTGGATTTTATTTTTATATCCATGTCCTTAATTTTAATAACCTGTAATCATCATACATATATCAAACCTTATATGACTTACTAGAACCTTCCATGATATACTTAAGCATTCTTGTTTTGTCTTCATCTTTCTTTTTCTATTTTGGAAAAATTCTGTTTTTTTCTCTTAGGATAAACCCTTACTCTGCCATATAAAAGATTTTTTTTTCAAGAAAATTATCTTTTTAACTTTTATTATCAAAATATATCCTGATGTTTACAGTTTCTCTTAAATTTCTTTTTCTCATTCTTATTAATTACTTTTTACTTAATCTCCTTACTTAATATTACGAGACAAAACATATTTATCAACTTATTTTTATTTTATTTTGGTTTTTGGAGACAGGATTTCCCTATGTAGCCCTGGCTGTCCTGAAACTCAGGGACCCACCTGCCTCTGCCTCTGGTGTGCAGGGATTAAAGACATGCCACCACACCAGGCTTTATCTACCAATTTATTAAAAGAACGTTTAATCCAAATTACATTTTGGGCATAATGTAACAAATTAAGAACACCACACATTGTTCAACTATAAGGTTCCTTTTCATTTTAAGTCCTAAGCAGACAGCATGGCTTCATTGATTTGTAAAATGATTTCCTTTAAGCACTTCTTTTCTTTGTCTGTGCAGGATGTTACTTTCCATCAAGAGCTGTCCATGATTACAGCTTCTGGTGTCCTTGGAGAGTTATCTTGTGTGAGCAAGACAAAGGCAGAAGTTAAAATATACAGATTAACCCCACAAATTGTAATTTGGGATACAAAAGACACATACTTCTTTCTGAACTTTGGGAGATCAAAAACAGCAACCCTCTTACCATAGATGAATAAACATAGAGCATCTTGTGAGAACGCACCCCCAAGGAACTGTTGCCAGAAACAGAGGCTTTGCTACCCATTCTAACAGTCAGAGCTCTGAAATAAACCAGATGGAAAGGGACAGAAAGATACTTTGCAATCAGAAGCATGAAATCAGGAATGAAAACAGAGCAGAGCAGAACGAGCTAAAACTGAGGCCAAAACATACAGCAATTCAATTTGTTAGGCAAGAGCTCCAGAGCGTGCCAGGAACAGAGGAGGGGGAAGTCCCCAGGTAAAAGTACTTGGCTACCGCTCTGGAGTTTCTCATCCTGGAACCGAACCCAAAGCCCCAACCCAGCAGCAGTTGTGATTCCTTGTTAGCCCAATGACATGTCGGGGGGAGTCCAGATGTTGTGCTCATAGAGGCGTCAATGACATGTCGGGGGGAAGTCTAGATGTGCTCATAGAGGAGTCAATGACATGTCGGGGGAGTCCAGATGTTGTGCTCATAGAGGAGTCAATGACATGTCGGGGGGAGTCCAGATGTTGTGCTCATAGAGGAGTCAATGACATGTCGGGGGAGTCCAGATGTTGTGCTTGTAGAGTCAATGGCATGTCGGGGGAGTCCAGATGTTGTGCTTGTAGAGTTGCCAGAGTGCTGGTGTTCCTGTTACCGCTTACGAGAAGCCAGTAAACCACAGATAGAATTGAATTTGAATCTTTCATTCTCGCTTTCTTCAGAAAGCCAGTCATCAAGGAAGGCAGCAGGCTAACACCCTACAAAGTCCCTTATGTCTCATCTCTAGCCAGCAGATCCCACGGGAGGAGGAGGCAGCGGCAGGAAACAGTCAGTTGTTCCAGAGCTGAGTCTTGCCTGTCCAGTCAGATGATGAGCCACACGTCTGAGGGCTGTGGTGTCTCTGTGCTTGTACTGTTGTTGTTCCTGGACCTCTCCCCTCGTTCTGTGGATGTCTGGGCTCAAGTACTTCCTCAGATGCTGTGTCTAGTTAGTTTTTCCTAGTATCGACCTTACCTCTGAGCTGGTGAGGAGCAACTCAGAACAAGCCAACTTTTAACAGTGTGTATGTGCTAAGCTGTTAATAGCACGTATATCTATGCTTCCGTTCCATCAAACACAAATGTGTCATTATAACACAGAGTATGAACGTGCCCCATCCATCCCTTCTGCTCCCCATCAGATATACAGTGTAGGCCACGGAAGTAGAAAGAAGGGAAGAAAGTCTAAAGGGAGGAGAAAGTGGACATAAGATGGGGTAATGGAGAGCATGTAGTGTGAAATCTGAAAAGGGAACAACTTATTTGGAGGACAGGGGCCAGCAGAAGCATGTGTGAGCGAAGAAAGCAGCAGAGAGGGAAAAACAGAACAAAATGCACCAGGAGATGGTTATGTACTTTACACACAATTAAGGTAATTGTGTGTGGTGGCGCATGCCTATAATCTGTCTGGGAGGTAAAGGCAGGAAGATTAGTGATTCAGGGTCATCTCAGCTACAAAGTGAGTTCTAGACCAGGGTGAGCTCCCTGGGATCCCGGCTCATAAGAGGACAAGAAATTAAAAGAAAAAATAGCAAAGTGTAATGAACAAACCACCCTAATGAAACCCGTAACTTTATCTGCTAGCTAAAAGACATTACAAAGCCTGTAATTGTGTGGTCAGGCCATTAGCGCACCACAATCTAGAGAGCCACAAGAGAGTCCTGCTTCATGTCTCATTGCTTCTGCTTCTGCCCACAGACCACAGCGGAGCTCCTGAAGGCCTCCGGTCACAGTGTCCAGAGCCAACACCAGGCACACCTACTGGAGCTCCAGGCCCTTGAGGAGGAAGCCAGACAAGAGCTGCAAGAGGAACATGAGCAGACACAAGCCCAACAGCCTCTGCTGCTTGGTAAATATCCCACTGCCCATCTGGGAGAGCCCAGTCACCTGTGTGTTCCACACATGGAAACCAGTGGCAAGCAGGGCACACAGGCCGCAGCAACAATCCCAGCTCCATTTTCAACTATCTATTAGACCTGGGGAGCAGGGGTGTGTAGGTGGGGTTTTCCCATTCTAGCAGCTGCTTCCAAATTATCACACTGAGGCTTATATTACTTATGAATGCTGATAGCTCAGACTTATTGCTAGCTAGCTCTTACAACTTAATCCATTTCTATTAATCTACATTTTGCCACGTGGCTCATGATTTTACCTGTCCTCCATCATGTCCTGCTCCCTCTGCAGCTGGCTGGTTTCTCTCTGACTCCACCCTTCTTCTTCCCTTTATACTTAGTTTGGCCTTCCTACCTAACTTCCTGCCCAGTTCCCTTGACAGCTTTTTATTAGCCAATGAGAAAATACATACTCATAGTGTACAGAACGATTTTTTCCACAGCAGGGGTGGGGATTCTAGGCTGAATTTTCCTTTAAAAATGGAGCTGTAACTGTTCCTACATCATAGAGTTATTATGTGGATTAAATGGGGTGTTAAATATAGCATGTCTAGCAAACAACATGAGTCCAATAAATGTAGTAGATACTATAGTTACCCTCAGTAGAACTCAGATATACCTTCACGCAGGTTTCATTGGATTGTCTCAATTCTGTGGACTTCCATTCCAGTGGTATCTGAAAATTGGGGGGCTCAGGCCGCCAGGCTCCACCTGGACTTTCTTCTGCTTGCAGAAGAAATCCCTAGCATGAAATTTATCTCCGGTTACATTACAATATCAAAACCCACTCTCAGTGTTCCAGAAGTCAGCAAGAGGCAGTTAAGATCTGTGGGATTAGACTGTCTAGGTTTCAAACTTTATTCCTACACTCACTAGCTGTGTGGCCTGGGAAGTCCACATCTGTCCGGTGAGGGCAATGATAGTGTTCACCTCACGGGGCTGTAGTGACTTTTGTGAGTCAGATTCTCCTGGCCGATACTGGCTTTAGTCTGAATCCTGCTGGATAACAATCTTCTTTCCCCATGAGCCAGCCAAAATCTTATCTATGCCCATGACTAGGAGAACTTGCAAATGGTTTGTCTTTTATTAAAAAAAAATTTAAAAAGAGAGAAAAAACTGACATAAATATCAAGATTCTTGACTTGAGACCCTTGTTCTTCCTTTGATTTTGTGACTTGGTGCCCAGGCCCAGTGTTGCCTCAGGCTCTGATGTAGACTGAGGCCAACGCACCTTAACCTAGTCCTCCTCCAAATCAGAGAGAAGTAGCCAGACAGGTGATTCAGAACAAAGAAGAAACACTTGAAACGCTGACTGCTGCTCCACCACGAGACAGCTGTGTAGCTCAGGGCTGCTTACCCTTTCTGTGGCTAATAATAAAATGGAGCGGGGATGGCAGGGTGGAGGGATTATACACACCATATGGGGTGGTGCAGTATGGCCCCTTATGCCATACTGTTGCTTCTGTGGTTTGGGAATAAGTTTAGGAATGACCTCTCTGTTCTTCTTTCTAGAGTCCCTGAGGCAGGAGCTGGCGGAGCAGCGATCTGCCTCTGAGCAGCAGAAGGCCCTGGAGGTGCTACCGAATGAGCAAAGGGCCCTGGGCACAAACCACACCTTCACTGCAGAGGTCAGTGCCTTGCCTCTGCCCACACCATAGTCCTTCTAAGACAGCATTAAACTCACAGAGAACAGCCCCGTATGGGTGGACTCTGGGAGCTAGATCTCTTCCTTGCTGGGAATGACAAGACCCCTTTCCCATTCCTGACCCCTGGAAACACTTGGCAGCCTGCAGCCTCCCAATTTTGAAAAGCAGAAAGCAGCTCTAAAGCAGTTGCAGGTTACTTAGAGTTCCGATACCCGTTCCTACCTCTTAGCCCTCCAGATAGCTGGTCTGGGTCACTCTTCCAATCTGTGGGGGAAATATCTCAGAAAACTCTCCAGACAAACGCCCTATTTAGACAGCACTAATCTGGTTCTCAGAACCCCCAGGCAACAAATCTTCTTCATTTTCCTGTTCAGGCTTTGCCCATCAACCCCTTCCAGGCACATCCCTAATTCCTACTCCAGCTGGCATCATCTTGCAACAGTTTGAGCCCCAAGCTTCCGTTATTGGGGTAACACACAGCATAACTTTGTGGCGGTTAGTGGAATAAGCTCTAGATGCCGCAATGCATCAAGGAAAAACCTCCGCCGTCACTGGCTACAAACTGCATCTACAGCCCTGTTCTCTCTTGGTCTCTTGGCACTGGCACCGGCACCCTGCCTCTGCCTCCTTGTGAGACTCCCCCTGCTTGAGGTGGAGAGAGCTCCGCACTAGGGTCTTAGTTCGCCCAGACCTTCCACACTCAGAGGAAAACTGAATGTTGGTACAGCACAACTGACCCTAGAATCTCGTGACTATTAGGACAGTGACCGCAGGGAAGTGGTAAGGGAGGCATGGCAGCTTAAAATAGGTGCAATATGTGGACTATCTGATCTCTTATTAAACTCTCGGAGGGCCAGATTTGGCCAACACCCCAAACAAGAGACTGCATGGGAGCCCTTCATCAGGAACCTGATACAGCTTTGTCAAGAGCGCCTCCAAGTCCTGAGCTGGCCTTGGTGCCTGCGGGGGGAAATAATTTTTCGAAAAGTCTCTATCTGCTGCTTTCTCCTCAGGATGTAGGTGTTACAGGGCCTCCTGGTTCTGTGCCCTACGCTGCAGAGAAAGGGCTCCTGGAGGAGAACGCTCAGCTCCAAGACACTGTACTACGCCTGCGCGCAGAAGTGGAACAGCACCTGCAGGAGGCGCTGCAGCTGCGCGAGCAGCACCGGTGAGCCTGCAACCCAGCTTCCATTCTTTTTCTTCCCCCACATTCCTCTCTCCTCTCTCTTTCCCCTCTTCCCTCGGGCATTGCTTAGAGCCTCTGAGGTCAGAAACAGTACACATAGAATCAGACCAAAAAGAGACAATGAAATGGAATAGTTCAAACAATGCCGTGCATTCTTGGGTTTTGTTTTATTTATTTATTTGTTTTGTTTTGCTTTTTTGAGACAGGGTTTCTCTGTAGCTTTGGCTCCTATCCTGAAACTAGCTCTTGCAGGCTGGCCTCGGACTCACAGAGATCCGCCTGCCTCTGCCTCCTGAGTGCTGGGATTAAAGGCGTGCGCCACCACCACCAGGCATGAAGCACTTCTTTATAGAGAAAGGGGAGATGGCTCAGTGGTTCATATAGCTTGCTCTGCTGCACACTACAGGTGTGTAGGAAGGTTGGGGTTTGCACCTTGGTCAACATTTGTGACTTTTCCTTTTGTGTATGACCCCAACCAAGTTTTTTTTTTTTAAATTTTCCCAGGCCTCAGTTGCCCAGGGCATCAAGCATGGCAAAGCCCAGCACACAAGTGGTGGAGAAAATTAAGAGAAAGAAAAGAGATGCCGCGTGTAATGGCAATGCCTCTAATCCTAGCACTTAGGAGGCTGAGGTGGAGGAATCTCGAGTTCAATGCCAGCAGAAACTACATAGTGAGACCTTTCCGATTCTACCCTGACTCCCCAGAAAGGATTCCATGCCAAGTATTTAGAACAAGATTAGGCACAGAGCACTGACTTAAAAGCCAGAGGGGCAGTTGTTAAAATTTATAAAACCGAGCTTAAACCTGAGATCTGGGAATACAGATAGTGGTAGAACACTTTCCTACCAATGGAGAAGAACCTGCACTTTAACACACACACACAAACACACTTCATTGAACACTTAACTCATCCCCATATGAGATTCAACAGAGCTGAGATGGAGCCTGAAAATTAGCTTCTGAATTAGAATTAGTTAAAATATGCATTTCTGAAAATTGCCCCAGGAGATGCTGGAGTTGGCGGGTGAAACTGGCTCCACTCTGAGACTGTGCCTCTCTCCCTTGCTGCTGTAATAGCCAAAGGTGAGGGGGGTTCCAGAACAGAGAATAGAGGAGCTGGCCTCCGCCAGGCAGAAGCATCTAAGTAAGACCAGCCAAAGAAAGCTGGACATGGCACATGCCTGTAAACTCAGCACTTGGGAGGCTGAGGCAGAACTGCCAAGAGTTTGGGGCCAGCCTAGGCTACATCATGAGCTCCAGGCAGTGTGAACTCCAGAGTAAGACCCTGCCTCCAATCAATACACATCAAGCAATGTGAGGGTGCCCCTTAGTGGGATGGCCCTGAGTACTGGTGTCCCAGGCAGAGATGCCTACACAAGAGAGAACCATGTCAAAGCTTCTCTGAGTCCCCCCCCCCCCAGTTACAGAAAAGCTGAGGAAGGGCCTCGAACCTTGGATGCTGAAGAGAGCTTAGGTAGTCCTAGTGCCCACGGATGGCGAGGGGAGCTGACCGCAGGGAAAGGAGTTATTCACGGGACCCTCCCCACCCTGTGCACTCACCTGATTGTGAAGTAACTCAGCCTCCCTCTAACTGAGGTCGTGGGGCTTCCCTCCCAGGTGAACCTGAGATACAAGTTCATCTAATAAGAGCCAGGAGCCCATCTGGCTGAGATGGAGCACCATAGATCTAGAGATGCACCATGTGGCCCTGGGCAAGTCTTTCTTCAAGTGAAGAAAGCAATGATCCCTCAGCTGGGAAGAAAAAAAAAGCATAAAAATGCGCATGTCCCTCCTGAGAGTGGAAGACTCCCTGGGCCTCGGCTGTGGTCATTAGGATCCTCCTCCAGGTTAAGAGCCAGGATAGCTAATGGTTGGAAGGGGCTTTGTGCCATGTGCTGCTCCGGATATGCATTGGTTCAATTTCTCTTTGCAATTGACCCTGTACGGTAAGTACCACATGGCTTCCATCTAACAGAAGAGGGCACTGGGCCCAAGGTCACACAGTTAAAAATAATAGCAACAAACAAGGACTTAAGCTGCCTGGTCCTAACTATTACTCTTTTACCTATTCTACCCACCTTTCTAGAAACCCTGGGTTTCAGAGTTCTAGGCCCAGCTGAGAGAATGCTGCCTGTGCCTCAAGAAGGGGGTACGGGGGAAAGGAGTGTTTTCTGGGGCTCCCTCCAGGTCTCTTTTCCTTCTTCCAAGGAAGGCAACTCCTTTGATGAGGGTTCTCCTTTGCTGACGCTAGATCGGGAAGGTATCCTTCTCATAAGGCGGCTGGATATCACTTCGTTCAGGGCCTTTTAAACTAGGCCACCAAACAGAGATATCAGCCCCTGAGTTCAAGGGCTCAGGCTCAGCGCCTGGGTGACCCTGCCTGTGCCCCCCTCCTTCACAGGTTGCTGGAGGAGGACCAGAAAGCCCAGAGAGCCATGGAGGTGGAAGCACTCCGTCAAGAACACCGGAAGGAGATGCAGGCCATGGTGGCAGATTTCAGTGGTGCTCATGCCCGGCTCCAGGCCAGGCTGGCGGCTCTGGAAGCCGAGTGAGCAAAGTCTTGGGCCCAGGTGGAGACGGAGTAGCAGGTTACCATCTGGGGAAGAAACCAACTCATCCTAGTCTCCCTAGGCTGCCATGGTTTTAAAACGTATTTTCCCTGGGTTCTAGAAGCTCTTCATTTTCAGGCAAATGAGGATGGTTGGCCGTCCCTCATTTTATGTTTCTCATTTTACTATCTATTTGAAAATTACATAAATGTGCTTTGATCATATTCATTCCCATCAAGTATAATGTGTACTACCCACATATTCTTGAGTATGTGGCCATCCACTGGAGGAGCATGGGCAACCGACCTACCAGGGGCTGTACTCATGAAGGAAAATGACTGCCTATCCCACAGCTATCATTTGCAAATAGTGCCTCAGCTAGGTGTGGGCCGTGGTGTCCACCTCTCGTCTCCGTGCTGGGATTTTGTCTGTCTTGACTTGTATAGACCTCATGCTGTCACCACCATTGAGTTTATATGTGGCATTGCCTGGCTGTGTCCTAACCAGCTTTCCTGTAGTCACTCACGGCTTCCGGCACTTACAGTCTCTCTGCCCCTCTTCTGCAATGGTTCCTGAGGAGAGGGTGTAGCAACCTGTCTCTCTGTCTCTCTCTCTCTCTGTCTCTCTCTTGCTCTCTCTCTCTCTCCTTTAATTGACTTTTTCTTGCATAATATACATTATTACAGTTTCCCCTCCCACTGCTCCTCCTAGTTCCCCCTCACATCCTCTCCAATCCAGATCCATCCCCTACCTGTCTCCCATCAGAGAACTTAGACTTCTAAGGGATA